GTGCATTTCCTATTATTGTTTATAGCTTTTGTACTCAAAAGTAATTTTCAAGATTTCTTTAAAAACATGAAATAGTTAACAATGCTTTATAACAACCTTAAAGAAAAAGAGGAAGAGTTGCCACTCCAGCTAGCCTAAAATAATATCTTGGAACATTTCTTAACCAATTTTAAATTTTTCTTATAATTTAATCTGGTGTTTATGAAACATGTGGTTAAAAAATGATACAAGTGTTTATAAAGTTAGGAGAAAACTATGTGTATGTGAATATGCTAAAACACTTAAATGTTTTCATACATATACATGTCCTTTATTCAACTTAGTTTTTAATATTTAAAAATAGACCTTGGATATCTGTCTATATGAAATGGTATAGAATTAATAGAATTACATAGAGTACATTCTACTATATGAGTGTACACAAAATATGTTTAACCATCTCTTATATTATGGATATTTATTTCCATGTTTTTACAAATAATATTACAAATAATTCTTATAAAATTTTTAATTGAAAATATTCAAAAGTGCTGGTGGTTTTTGCTTACATTCATAAGTGGGTTTTGCTGTTCCAATTAACTCATTGGTTCTGCTGCAATTTATTTGGATATAAAGAATGAGTCAGGAATCTCTCTTTAATTTTGATCCTCTTTTCTCAAATTAGCCAAAATCTTCTGCAACCTGTTTCTCCTTAATGATATTTGAAAATTGTCATTTCTTTCTAAAGTTGTATACATATTCTTGTAATACAAAATAAGTGTTAAAAATTTCTGGGTGGAAAATCGACCAAGATGATTATTTATCTGAAATAAGAAACACACAGGAATGCTAGTTATCAGTGAATGCTGATATCAGACTCGTTTTCCTCTAGAGAGAAACTAGGAAAATATATAAATACAGGAAAAACAGATGCCAAGGGATTAACAATCCACCACCTCATCCAGGCCTAGAAATGCTAACACTGAATAAAAACATGTTAAAACTAAAGTATATGAGTTACTTATAACACTGGAAGCATAAATAATGTGATAAACCAAAGTTACCATGAAAATATACTTAAAAAATATACCAAGTATCTAGAAGGGGTGAAATAATGAAAATAATATAGAAAGTGATAAAATGGGAAAGAAAGGTACAATCAACAAAGCCAAATTAGCTTCTTGGAAATACTCATAGAATTGATAATTTCTCAATAGGTTTTATTGGGGAAGAAAAACACAAATTATCAATATTTGGCAGAAAGATATGACTACAAAGCATAGGTTCCTAAAGATACCATAATACTGTATGCCAGTAAGTATCAACATGCAGATGTAGCAACAACTTACTAAGACTAATACTTAATTAAATAGAAAATCAGATTTATCCTCTTTCTATTAGGGTATGCTTCTGTATTCTTAAATCACCTCACAAAGAAAATGTCAGGCCAGGAATTCTAAGCAGTTAGAAAAGAGAACATGAACCACTTTTATAAAAGTCCTATAATTTTAACAATGCAAACTAGCAAAAACTGTACATACAGAAAGGGAGAATTAAATGCCAACCTCAAATTAAAAAGTGATCCTTTGGAAAATAAAGGAAAAGATAAACAGCTGAGACTACATCAAACTGAAAAGCTTCTGTACAAAAGAGACAATAAGAAAATGAAGAGACACACATTCCCTCTGGTTAGGAGAAAGTATTTGCACTCCACAAAAATTATAAGGGACTAGTATCAAAAATCTATGAAGAGTTTACACAACTCAACAGAAATAGAATAAAGAATCCAGTCAAAAAGCAGGCAGAAGTGCTAAAAGAAAATCCTCCAAAGAGGAAATTCAGATGACAAACAGGCACATGGAATGCTAAATAAACATCACTTATAATCAGGGAAATGAAAATCCAAACCACAATGAGATATCACGTCACTCTAGTAAGAACAAATACTAGTGAGGATATGGTTGGTGAGGAAATGCAAACTGGTCTAACCACTATGGAAATCCATGTGGCAGACCCTTAAGTTACTAAAAATGTATCTACCATATGGCCCAGCATTCCACTCCTATGCATCTACCCAAAGGACACAAAAACATTAATTCAAAAATATAGTTGCATGCCTATGTTTATTTACAGTACTATTTACAATAGCTAAAATATAGAAATTATGTAAATACCCCAAAGCAGAGACTAGAACAATAAAATCTATTCCCAATCCAGAAAGATAAAGTTATGCCATTTGCAAAAAATATGAATGGAGCTGGAAAGGATTATGCTCAATGAAATAAGTCAGAAGGAAAAAGAAAAATAGATGATGCTTTTACTTATAAGAAAAACATAGGGAAACTATACAAAGGATCAGATAAGAAGGTAAAACTAGCAGGTAAACGATAAATTGGAGACATTAATCAGGGGAGGTTGAGGGAGAGGGGTTGAATGGGGGAGAAGAGCGTAGAGTCTGTGGTGTTGTTTTATGGGTATCTTGTTGGTTGCTATTTTATGGGGACAACACCTGAAAGGAGAAATCAAACATTATACAAAAGTGAACAATGATGTAAAAATAAATGCAGAACAAAAAAAAAATGTGATTCTTTGGTGCTTTACCAAAGTCTAAGTTAATATATCTTGTCTAAGGATATATTTTGCTTCAAGAGGGTTTGACTACAGATGATTAAATACTACCATCAGTGTAAGGCTCCTCTCTCGGATGGCAGTTTCTTCTGATCACAAGATGGCTAGCAGCTTTCTGATTTCTTACCCAATGAAAAGGTAGAGGTCTTTTATCCTACCAATCCCTACAATAGCCTCATTGTATTTCTTTGGCTTAATCCAGACCCAGCATACCAGCTAAAGGAAAAAATTGATTTGAATGGTTTAGCTATAAGTCACACAGTCTGTATCTGAAAGTGTATGAGTCTGACACATATGGGACTTGTCAACCATGGGTGAGACTACGGGAAAGGGATGTCCCCCCCACCCCCCGCCAAAGGGAAATTGATGTTGGCAACTACGAAGAGTCTAAATGGATCTTCAATAGCAAAATGTCCCCCCGTAGGCTAAAATATATTTTGGATGGAGCCAGGAGATTGAATTTAGTTTTAAGTATTTATTAGTGTTAAAATGGGATAACTGCAATGAACTGAATATTTGTTCCCCCCCCCCGCCCCCCCAAATTTTATGTTGAAGTCCCAACTCCAATATGGTATTTGGAAATGGGGTCTTTGAGAGGTAAGGCACCCAGTGGGGTTAATGGAAGATGTGAGAAAGATAATCTCTCTCCACTATAGGAGGATACAGCAGTTAGACTGTTGACTGAAAACCTAAAAGGGTTTATCAGATCCAACCTGCAGCAATTTGACCTTGGACTACTCTAAGAGTGTGAGAAATAAATCTGTTGTTTAAACCACCCAGGCAATAGTATTTTGTTATGGCATCCTGATCAGGTAAAGACAGAAATCAGATCTCACTTTTGAAAAAAAAAAATATATCGAGGTAGGAAAATGATTCCTGTCCTCTATTTCCCCCATGTGTTCGTGTGATTATTGGTTCCCTGTGCTTAGTTAGGTGACGGTGTTTGTTTAGGGAGCTGTCCTAGAAGATAAAATGAGTGCTCAGGATAATTGATGGTGCCTGACACCGCAAAAAGGCCATCCTGTACCAAAGGGACTGTGTCCATTTTTTAAAATTTCTTTTTTTTCTATCACTGACTCTAAATAGAGTTTCTGACAAGATTCTGCTTTTCTTCTGTCAACTGTCAGCTTACAGGTATCGGACATTATTTGTAGGGCTGTAAATACATTACATGAAAAAATAATGAGTTGTTAAAAAGTCAGGAGAAATGCCTCCAGAATCTTTAACCTAACGTGATTTATGTCAGCCCGGGAATGAAGTTTCAGAAAGTTCTAAATGAAAAGCCTAAAATCTCTTCCCAGTCTGCCTTTGTTGTGGCCCCTGGGCACATTCCCCTTTTACCTCTAATCTGGAAGTTGGAGAACGTTTTTCATGTTCAACTTAAATTGTTTAGTTAATGGTCTAAGAATAACTCCTAGGAACATCCCTTAGCATAGCATGTTATTACTCCATTCCTCTGACTGAATTTGATGTATCTACTGTGTTCTTGCTGCATGAACTGTGATTCCTGGGATTAATAATTTTCTTTGTACCAGCTAGAAATTACAGACATATAGTAGATATACCTCCATCAGTCAATGTACTGAGTCTCGCTGTCTAGACATTGAAATATATGGATCATTCTAATGTTAAAGGATAATCTACATTCATCCTTATTCCAAGTTTTCCAAACTTGACCCTCCTACCTGTGGATGGAAATTTAGTAAAGCTTTATTTATTGATTTATTTAAAGATTTATTTATGCTTACAGAATTGGAGTACAGGCCAAAGGTGTGGTGGGTAAGAGGATTCACCATATCAGAGTGGGGAGCAGGACAAGCAGCTGTACTGAATACACTGCAGACAGGTCAGGAGAGGTTTGCCACCCCATGTGGGTCAGCTCCCTGGTAGGGGATCAGACTCATGCTGCAGTGGCTTTTGAGAGCTTCATAATGTGGTTGCACCACCAGGGAGAGACTAAGCTTTATTTTTTTAATTTAGTGCTTTGGGTACTAGGAACACAAGTGCACTGACTGAGTGAAGTACAGAAGGAGCTAACCAAACACAGCATCATGTACTACAGAACAGCAAAGCAAATCATGTGATTTCAGGTCCTGTAACAGGGACTGTTGTCATCTGGGTAAGAATATTCCATGGAGAACCATACAGCTTCATATTACCATGGGCCATGTCTGGGAGCCTTGCAGATGGAAAGGAGTGTGGGATGTCAACAAGACTGTAGTGTCTGCCTGGGTAGAGTCAGCCAACCTCCCTAGGCTGAGCACAAGACCAGAAGGATGGTCTTTCCAGATAAAGGGGGGAACTTAAGTCACCAAGTAGAGTTAAAAGACATTAAGTGGTTTCAGTGTTCACTAAGTGAACGTTAATGGTTTTTGTGTCTGTTCTGTTTTCAGTTGTTTGAATTTATGAACTTCTTGGCTGAGAACGTCATCTTCTGTTACATGGGCCTGGCACTGTTCACGTTCCAGAATCACATCTTTAATGCTCTCTTTATACTTGGAGCCATTGTATCCTTTATAATATAAACCATGGGTTTGAGGGGAGATAACATGTGATTTACCTCCACTGATTATTCTGTTAAATTGGCCAAGTGACTTCCTCATGTTTACTGTAAGACTCAAATTCAAGGCAGTTATGCAATTTCTAGTTAGAGGAAAAAACAAACCAAGAAATTGGAACCTTTGTTGAATACATATAGTCCAGGATAAGAATTGGGGAATGCTGAGAAAAAAAAAAAACAACAAAATATATATATGGGGAAATTAAAGGAAAATAACATTTTCAAATATTCAACTAAATATTCAAATATTTAAATATTCAAATATTTAACTAAAATTGGGAATCATTTATATAAAGGTTTTATCAACTCATTCTTTTAGACAAATATATTTAGTCTGCATTAGAGTGGATCAGAAGACAGCCACTAGGATTATTAAGCTTTAAAAACCTTTTCATTACAATATGATAAAAACCCTTTTCTTCTAGTGCGTACTTTGAAAATAGCATAAAGGGAGTAGAGATCAAAAGAAGTTAGCATGATGAATATGCTCTCAATATCTTAAGAATTGTGCACATTAAGCTTATTTTCATAATTCATTCCCTTTTCTACAAGGAAAACCTAGATGCATACAGATAAAAGTTAGAATTCACTTTCAATGCAGAGAGCTTTGCAGCTGTCAGCCAAGACAGAGACATTCCAAGGAATGGGTAACCTGACTGCTGGAAATAAACCTGAGGACGGTCAGTGGTTGTTCTCACCACTTGGAAAAAATGGGCAGAAGCCTCCTGTATCACTAGCAAATGCCCTTCCAGGTCAGGAGAGTGGACCAGCTCTGTAAAGCCCGGTTCAGGCCAAGCACCTGCGTTTACCTCTTCTCTTCACTGAGTACTAAGCTGAACTCTCATCTAAAGCCTGAATCTGAAGAGAAATTTCCCTCTTCCCAGATAACGCCATCCTATTTAAGGACAAACTAGAACAGACAGATTATCAGGAAAAAAGCCAAAGACAACCAAAAGGGAGAGATGATTACACCAACATCTTTATAGATGTTAACGTGTAAAGCTTGGATTTTAGAAAAATGCTTCTTAAAGTGGCAGTTGTATTATGCATTAAGACAGGCAATTCTTCTCAAAATTAAATCCCCTGAAAGAAAAAAAAATAAGTGAAACTTTCTAGCTACAGTGAGTATAAACTGATGGAAAGTAAAATGGTAATCATGAGCAAAAGTACATTTATCCTTTCTAAAGTGCTGCCAGAGAGGATAATGCCGCTGCCTCTGAATGGTCTTTGCCTCCCATTTTGCAGTAGAATTGAGCAGAGACTCAGTCATCAGCAGCATAAATGTGATGAGAAAATTTACAGTGACTGAAAAGTTATTGGGTTAACAATTTTAAAATAAGTATATGTGCAAAGAAAGCAGATTTCTCTATTATTTCTGGAAATGCATTGCCACTGAAAGATGAATTTTTGAAGCAAAGTGAACATTCATGTGTTGGCATGTTTGCCCCCAACCCCCTTTCTGAGTCAGAATGTGTAGAAGTTTCAGGACATCCTGTCTAAAGTTCAAGGGATCTCAACCTCATTGAAGTACCATTTTCCTCAATGTTTACCTGCACTTATCTACAGCTAGCCATTTTTGTTGCTAGAGCTTGCAACATCTATCCCCTCTCCTTTCTCCTGAATCTGGGTCGAAAGCAGAAGATCCCCTGGAACTTCCAGCACATGATGATGTTTGCAGGTATGTGAATTACATTCTATGATGCCTTCTCAATCTTTCATAGATACTGGGAAACCACCAGGAGACTCTGAAAGTTCCTGGAGAGGCATAATCCCACTTCACCCACTGTCCACAGCAGAACACCAATACTTCTTAAGTTCTGAACAACAGGGGGATTTCATTGGCCAGAAAGAAAAAAAAATGCAATTAAAGGGTATCTTGTTGGGGTGACTTAACGTATAGCGTCTGTTGGAAACTGGCCTAGAATAGCCATTGTGTTCTCCTCAATCTATTTCAGATCAATTTTCCTATCAGAGAATTTCAACAGTCGTGGCATAAATTGCATCCTAAAGTGATACAGTCATGCATCTCTTACTGTTTCTGTTCCCAATGGATGGCATAGAGGATGGTGGTCCAGACAGGCTGTATCTTACAGCCCTCTCCCTCATGTTTATTGTATCATTTTGGTGTGCATAATTGCACTCGGTGACTTTGTACAACAACAAAATCCCTAATATTGCGTTTCTGACAACATCCCCTTCAGTGACTTATGCATGACTATATACCAATGGTGCCACCTTGTTCAGTGTTACAGTGCTTTCTCCTTAGAATCCACATTCCTCCCCTATGCAAAGCCACAGGAAATTCTCATGGTTCAGAAAAAGGAGAATCTTATCTAGGTAGACCCAATTATTAGTTTGAGAAAACAAGTATTAATTGCACACTCATCTCATGTCAAGAGCAATTCTAGACACCAGTGGTCTAGAATTCTCCTGGAGTCTCCTTTTTCTAAAAGAAAATAAACCAAATGAATTGACTATCCTTGTACTACTCTAGAAACTATGGTTCCTTCTTTTCAGTTAATTGTTCCATCTTGAGTCTTTGATTGTTCAGAGGTCTCTTATCTGCCTTCTGTATGTGTGGGCATTTACATTACACCTAAAAACAGCTCATTGGGAGGTCCATGAACGTAAAACAAATAAACATATAAAAATTGCTCTCAGAATAGACTAACAAAATTTGGGGCTCAAACAGAGGTATGGAAACAGTGAGAAGATTATCAATTATTGAAAACCAGCTATTTACCTCTCACTATGCATCATTCCTGGGAAGCAGATAACCCACTTTGTGGATGTAGAAACTTAGTTGCAGGAGCTCTAAGAAAAGTATCCCTGAACCCAGCATTGTGAGACTCCATCTCAAATGGAAGCAAATGGAAATCCCAAGGTGGTGATTTTTTGGTGATATTCTAAAGCAAGCCATGATCTGTGAATCAGTACACTTTAAAGACCAAACACAGCCACCGGTTTGTTGACATATTGCCTGTGGTTACTTTTTGCTACAAGACCAAGCCTGGTGACCATTCTCAAAAAAAAAAACCTCCAGTATTTACTTCCTGGCCTTGTTCAAAAGTATCATAATCCCATTACAACAATGTTAACATTATTGGTGTAATTCAGAGAAATGATGATCAACTACTTCCTCTCATTAAAAAGGACCAAAAGATCTCTGCAAAGCTTTCAGGATTCCTACACACATAGGAGTCTGATGTTCAGGCAGTGACACCCGTTGTCTTCTTCATCAGTACCCATGTAACCTGCTAGGTGTGTAGTCACCAGGAGCAGCTGAGCTGCTAGATCCTGAGGGTTACAGTCATTTTGGGTCAAAGTGGCATCTTTTTATCAATTTGATTGGATGCTCATTTGTACACAGTTCACACTGAAATAAACATGAACAAAAAGATATTTTTTACATTTTTCTTTTAGTTAATAAGATAAATGGTACATTCTGGCATAGTGAAAAGAATATTGAATTATTTATTTATAAATTAAAGCTGTTCCTTTAGCTTTAAAATAGGAAGACTACAATGTTATATTTTTTGTTTGTTTTTAAAGATTTATTTATTTGTGCATACAGAACTGGGTACAGGCCAGAGGTGCAGGGGGGATGAGAAGATTCACCAGAGGCAGAGCGGGGAGCAGAACAGACAGATCAGCAAAGTACACTGCTGAGAGGAGCAGTGGGTGGCTCATGAGAGGTCTGCCACACATGTGGATCACCTCAGGGGCAGGGGTCCAACACACAGTGAAGCAGCTGTGCAGAACTTCAAGGTGCTGCACTTTAATCTGTTGTGCCACCAAAGAGAGGCAATAATGTTATATTGTTATGCAATAGAATCACATATGCTCAAATCAGAAGTTAACTTATATTTTCAAAAACCTTTTTTGAGTAATATTTTGAGATTGATCAAAACCCAGGTAAGAAGGGTATTCTTGGTCTCCCTTTGCAACTTAAAAAAGAGAGACAAAGAAATATGAAGAAGTTGGGTGTCTTACTCATAATCTCATAACCAATTAGAGTTGAAATGATTCCTGAACCCAACTCTCTTGACTTTGAATTTAGAGCCTTCTCTTTGACATGACACTGTATAGTTTAATCCTCACCATCATGAGAACAAAAGTTAAATGGAAAGTTTACCCTCCTAAGCCATCCAGCCCAGCATGTTTACCAAGTCTCTCAGGTGAAGCTGGGCCCCATCCAGTTCACAGCAAGCTGAACACAGGAGGACCGCCCTGCCAGCCACCTGCTCAGAGATACTGCACCCACTGACGCCCCTCACTGGATGTGGTTTCAGGTGACCTTCACCTAAATTCAGTTTAGTTCACATTGTCAAGGCAGTATTTGCCTATAAAGAGGAATGTTTTGGATTCAACTTTGGTTTTCTGCATAAATCTGGACATGCTGTGTTGCAAGCAGAACTAAAATTTTAAATTTATTTTCCAGGAAATAAGAAATTTAAATGTTCAACTTAAGGTAACATAAAGAACAAATCAAGTAACAACTTTCTAGCCTTTCCTAAGTGTGTGGAAACAATCCCTGCTGAAACCAGAAGGATAAGCTCTTCAAGATTATTTGCTTTATAATGCAATCAAATGTTCTTAATTATGACCAGTGTGGCTCTGATCACTCTTTAAGTGATGGCAGATTCTAGATATATGGATGATATATGGCAGACTCTAGCTGTTCTCTAATAAATTCAGATGATACCTCTCTTTAGATGGCTCAAAACATTTTTCAGAGTCCTTTGGAGAAGCTGAGTAACAATGGCCCTCTGGCTAAAATAGGGGTGTGAATTTATTTGCCCATTCTCTCATTCACAGACAGCAGCTAATTATTCACTCGCATGTCCTTTCTTAGGTACTTGGGGAAATGGTGATAGAGTGTGGACCCTGTGCTTAAGAAACTTGCAGCCTAAGGAAGAGAGCTTGGCTTCAGTCCAGCCTGGGCTCATCAAAAACATACCTTAGCTGGTTCAAAGACAAGTCAGATAAGAACCAGAACTTTGTCTTAGTCAATTACACCTTTACAAATCCTTTGCCATCACGCTTGCCCTCACTTCATGCATACCTGTTTGTGGGCAGGAGAATATTGCCAGAAAGATAAAGATGCTTCCAAAGAGAAGTTGACCCACTGCCGTCAATAACACCTTAGCTCAAGTGCTTTCATTTACAGAGCCACTTTCAAGGTCCACGGAGGACCCCAGTGGCATGCTCTAATGTTTCTTAGGTTATTTTTTTTTTAAGATGAACACCCAAAATATATAAATTTTGCAACCCTCACAAAACCAGAATCAAACTTTCTTCCAAATCTGGAACCAGGTGGAGGTGAAAGCTTATAAAAAGCTCCAGCTACGTAGGTAGCCTAGTAATGAGTGGCCCCTATACCAAGCATTGAAACAAGGGCTTGCAGCTATACAGATAATTCTGGCTCAGCAGTAGGCTCATTGTTAACAAATAACCCACTGTTACTGCATATCTCTCTCCTCCCTCCCCCACCTCTAGCCTCTGGACCCAGTTAACTGAGGGGCATGCTATCAGGTCCAGATTGAAGGTTTCAGCCAGCACAGACCCCACCCATTGCTTCTGTATAGACTAGTAATCTACACACGTGAAGGCTTTGGAACCTGGAAATGAGAAAAGGTCTCCAGGTCAGGAATAGTGTCTGCCTGCCTTCTGGGGCTTGACAAAAGCAAATTCTGCTTTTGGTCACAAGGTTGCCTCTGAGAGTCAATTGGGGGAGTTTACGTTGAGACATTTTTAAGACCTTCTTTAAATTCAAGGCCAGGAGTTTGTAACTACTCTAGTGTATCGCGTGACACCCAGCACAAAGGGCTTAAGAGGAATGCTAAGCTCCCCTGTAACTGTTCCTCTTGCTCCCAGGCATAGCCCTAGTTAATGCCCGGAGTGAGCTGCCCGCCCCAGTTCTCAGTTCCCTTGAAACCTAAGAGGCCAAGCTCTGTGGTTTAAATTAAAGGAGGAGCTGTGTTTCACACAAATTAGCTTTCCTATTGATGTGGTGCATATTACAAAGATCAGTCCTCTTGTTTTAATTCAAACCCACGTGCTGCAATTCTTATTTAATTTAAAACTAAATAAGAACCCTGAGTTGCTGGAAGGAGGGGAAATGCCAAGCCCAATTGAGTCCTGGCAGCCTTCCTGAAACCACTGTGACTTGGGGATTGTGGCTTCTGAGCCCCCCCTGCCCCCAGCCCTCTCCACCCCTGTGCAGAATTGCTGTGCTGAAATGGACAAGAGGGAAGAAGCCAGGGCCCAAGGAAGCACTGGGGCAGGTCGATGGACTCTGAAAATATGTCAGAGGATGTGTTCCTCCAATTTGCACTTTGAAGAGACACTGAAACTGTTGTGTTCTGTCACGTCAACTAGGAGGAATTTAAACCAGGAAAATGTCGCCACAATGAACAGATATAAAATGAGAGCTCATCCATGAGCTGATATAGTCAGAAGGCAGCAGCATCTAGTGTCACTGCGCTTTGCTGCTGATTTCATCTGTAGCTCCTCTGGCTGTCCACTAGCACTCATTAGCATGCAAATAACTGTCAGCTATTCATGCTCAAGAGAAAGTATGGAAGAAAAGCTTTAAAAAAAAATTCCCATTGGCTTTCAGTGGAAAAACAATGCTACTGCTATGCAAGTTTTAAGAGACACTTCCGTGGCCCATAG